AATATTTTGAGATATTTTATAACTCCAACGTGATATGAGAATATATGTGATTTCCATTATGAATTAGGAATGCTAAATTTTAGTTGGAGTTTACTGAAAGTAAAGATGAAATATTTTTCCTGTGTTCACATTTATCAAACCCTCTGAGATGCTGGTGAGTAGGAAAGATCCCTCCAGCCACCTTCAGTTCTCTTTGGGCCCCAGCTTTTGATTTGGAAAAACAAGTAGCTTAAAGGTAGTCCAGACACAGTGGCTCACACCTATAATCCCAGCACTTTGGGAGGCCGAGGTGGACAGATCACTTGAGGTCAGGAGTTCGAGACCAGCCTGGGCATGGTAGTGAAACCCTGTCTCTACTAAAAATACAAAAATTAGCTGAATGTGATAACAAATGCCTGTAATCCCAGCTACTCAGGAGGCTGAGGCAGGAGAATTGCTTGAACCCAGGAGTCAGAGGTTGCAGTGAGCCGAGATCACACTACTGTACCCCAGCCTAGGCAACAGAGCAAGACTCTGTCTCAAAAAAAAATATTGCTCAAGGGTGGCATGGAGGAAGCTGGGGGTTGGGGGTAGACAGCAAAAAAGAACAAGACTAGAGGACTAATAAGATAAGTCAGGACTATGTAGCAAAGTTACAGCAGAAGAGGGGAGTTGTTTGTTAACATATTGAACAACCAGAGCAAAACCTGATAGAGATTTAAAATCTTTCTTCTAGCTCATTTTTGGGCAAACTAGATTTCTGATAGTTGAAGAGGCCTTCTTACTTAAAAGTCTTTTTTTTTTTTTAAATAGAAATGGGTTCTCACTACGTTGTTCAGGTGGTCTTGTACTCTGGAGTGGCCTCAAGCGATCCAACCACTTGGCCTCCCAGAGTGCTGATATTACAGGCATGAGCCACTGCACCTAGCCAAAAATTACTCTTTAGATTCCAGAACAATTTTTCAAGCTACCTCTATGAAATTTCCTTTAAGTACCTATAAATGTGTTTTTGACAAAGATTGTTAGAACATTATCAGTCCTTTTTTTTTGTTTTTTTTTTTGAGACAGGGTTTCACCATGTTGGCCAGGTGGGTCTCAATCTCCTGAGCTCGTGATCCACCTGCCTTGGCCTCCCAAAGTGCTGGGATTACAGGTGTGAGCCACCACGCCCGGCCATCAGTACTTTTCTTTTCTTTTTTTCTTTGAGACAGAGTTTTGCTCTTGTCGCCCAGGCTGGAGTGCAGTGGCACGATCTCAGCTCACTGCAACCTCTGCCTCCGAGTTCAAGCAATTCTCCTGCCTCAGCCTCTTGAGTAGCTGGCATTATAGGCATGCACCACCATGCCTGGCTAATTTTTGTATTCTTAGTAGAGACAGAGTTTCACCATGTTGGCTAGGCTGGTCTCCATCTCCTGACCTCAGGTGATCCACCTGCCTTGGCCTACCAAAGTGCTGGGATTACAAGCATGAGACACCACTCCCAGCCAACATTACAAGCATGTTTTGAAAACTTACAGCCCTGCATAATCTACTACTCGTCATATCCCCTTAAAATTATATTTTTTAGGCAGGGCACGGTGAATCACAAGGTCAGGAGTTCAAAACCCGCCTGGCCAGTATGGTGAAACCCCATCTCTACTTAAAAAAATAATAATAATACAAAAATTAGCCATGCATGGTGGTGCGTGCCCCTAGTCCCAGCTACCAGGGAGGCTGAGGCAGGAGAACTGCTTGCACTCAGGAGGAGGAGGTTGCAGTGAGCCGAGATTGTGCTGCTGCACTCCAGCCTGGGCAACAGAGCAAGACTCCGTCATGAAAAAACATATATATGTATTTTTTTGGCTAGGTGCAGTGCCTCATGCTATAATTCCAGCATTTTGGGAGGCTGAGGCAGGCAAGCAGATCATCTGAGGTTGGGAGTTTGAGACCAGCCTGGCCAACACCGTGAAACCCCATCTCTACTAAAAATACAAAAATTAGCCGAGTGTGGTAGTGGGTGCCTGTAATTCCAGCTATGAAAGAGGCTGAGGCAGGAGACTCTCTTGAACCGTGGAGGTGGAGGTTGCAGTGAGCTGAGATTGCGCCATTGCACTCCAGCCTGGGCGACAAAAGCGAAACTCTGTCTCAAAAAAAAAAAAAAAAAAATTATAGTTTTTTTCTTCATTATAAACTAAGTTCTGCTTATTTCCTGTTACCAAATACCTGGCAATCCCAGACCCTCTACAGTGACTTGTGTAGCCCACACTTATCGTATCCCTGGTTAATATACTGTTCCCTCCTTCCCCACAACCCTCACTCTTTTTCCTTTTCCTTTTTATTTATTTATTTTTGTTGAGACAGAGTTTCACTCTTGTTGCACAGGCTAGAGTGCAATGGCGCGATCTCAGTTCATTGCAACCTCCACCTCCCGGGTTCAAGTGATTCTCCTGCCTCAGCCCCCTGAGTAGCTAGGAGTATAGGCATGCGCCACCATGCCCTGCTAATTCTGTATTTTTAGTAGAGAAGGTGTTTCACCATGTTGTCCAGGCTGGTCCTGAACTCCTGACCTCAGGTGATCCACCTGCCTCAGCCTCCCAAAGTGCTGGGATTACAACAAACATGAGCCATCATGCCCAGCCAATTTTCTTATGGAAACATCTGTAACTGAAAAAGTTGGTGCCTGGAGTTTACCAGTAATAAAGAAAACTAATGTTTTGGCTACATTTTCCCACATTTTATTCAGTTTTGTCCTATATCAATCAGAAACCACTGAGACTATATTTTTTTATGAGATAAGGCCTTGCTCTGTCGCCCATGCTAGAGCTCAGTAGTGGGATCTCCGCTCACTGCAAACTCCACCTGCGGGGTTCAAGCAATTCCCTTGCCTCAGTCTCCCAAGCAGCTGGGATTACAGGCGCCCACCACCATACCCAGCTAATTTTTGTGTGTTTAGTAGAGATGGGGTTTCACTATGTTGTCAGCCACGCTGGTCTCAAACTCCTTACCTCAAGTGATCCTCCTGCCTGGGCCTCCCAAAGTGCTGGGATTACAGGCATGAGCCACCACGCCCAACCCTCTTTTTTGAGAAAGGGTCTCACTGGACTACAGCAGTGTAATCACAGCTCACTGCAGCCTTGACCTCCTAGGCTCAAGTGGTCCCCCCACCTTAGCCTCTTGAGTAGCTGGAACTAGGTGAGCATCACCACACCCAGCTAGTTTAAAAATGTTTTGGGCTGGGTGCAGTGGCTCATGCCTGTAATCCCAGAACTTTGGGAGGCCGAGGCAGCTGAATCACCTGAGGTCAGGAGTTCAAGACCAGCCTGACCAATGTGGTGAAACCCCGTCTCTATTCTAAAAATACAAAAATTAGCCAGACCTGGTGGCATGTGCCTGTAGTCCCAGCTACTCGGGAGGCTGAGACAGGAGAATTGTGTGAACCTGGGTGGCAGAGGTTGCAGTGAGCTGAGATCACGCCACTGCACTCCAGCTTGGGCAACAGAGCAAGACTCTGTCTGAAAAGTAAATAAATAAATAAATAAATATAAATAAAAATTTTTTTGTATAGAAATGGGGTTTTGCAACAATCCCCAGTCGGTCTTGAACTCCTGGGCTCAAGCAATCTGTCCACCTCAGCCTCCCAAAGTGCTGCAATTACAGGCATGAGCCATTGCACCCAGCCTAGGATTTTGGATCTTAAGCTGGCTTTAGTTGTAAATTCAGGGAATAGCTACTTTCAGGTAAAATAAAGTAGTAGAAACAGTTCCGTGTTGCTTTCCTGATGGGTAGGAGTGAGGTGGGGCCAACTCCTGTGTATTTGGTTTGCAGTCAAGAACTGTGGGAAAGAAGCTGTAGGATTTGGTGGGAAGTATATACCTGATGAAGAAAGTAAAAAGAGGGGACTAACCAATCACCATTTTTAGAAGCAAAAAGAAAAATAGAATCATGTTTCAGAGCCTCACTGTGAAGGAGCTGTGGAAAACTGCAGCATCCAGGCTGTTACTGTGTTGCAGGCATGTTTTAATGAAGGAATATAGCCAGGAGCCTCAAAGGGATTTTGAGAATATTATTCTTCTGTATTACTGCTGTTCATCTGTTCCCTTCACTCTAACCCCTTTTAAGAAGGGATGGGAGCATAAATTATTGTCCAGTAACCCTATTTTACTTAGACATAAACTGGATAGACTTAGCCCACTTTTCTTCATTGTCCTTTCACCCAAATCCCAAACAAATAAAATCTCCATACATCTCTCTTTCTCTTCCCTCATCCTGCCTACAGGCTCCTCCCTACCCTTAAAAAAATATTTTTTGCTGGCATTTTTATTCTACCATTATATAGTCATCAGTATTGTACTGGCCTTTTTATGGCTGATGGAGCCCAGGCGGGCTGCCCGATGAGGGGAGACAGCATTTGGCCGATGGGGCTGGTATGTGCCATTATTGCTGGCCACTGGGCCTTGGTCCTCTACAGCTCCATCCTGGCTCATTAAAACTCTGAGCCAAATAGCCATGCAGGCGCCTGCTGCAGCACTGTAGGGGCCAAGAAGTTAAATGGTTCTCCTAATCCTGCATAATTTATCTCCCTGTTAGCCCCCTCATAAAAGAGTCCAATTCAGCCCTACCATGGAGAGCTTCATTCTCAATTTCCTTTTTTTGTGATGGGCAACGAGTGCCCAGCTCTTCCCTTCTCCCTTTATTATTATTATTAAAAATTGTTTTCCCCTTATTCAATACAAGTGTGCCTTAATGTTTTTTTCATTTGGAGCCTCCTACTTGGACCCCACTTCACCAACAATCTGTCCACTTCTGTTGTTTGGACCTGATATTACAGAGCAGTTGGTGGTGTGGTCTTCCCCCTCTCCTCTTCTCCCTGCCTTCTAGCACCTTTTTTTCTCCATGTCTTCTCCTCTTCTAGTTTTTTCTCCCTCTCCAGTTCTTTCCAGGGACCAACGTCATTGCAGGATGTTTGGTAGGACATTTTAAAAGGGCACTGAATTGGGTTTTTGTTTTTGTTTTTTCACATCTCCATTTCTGTTTCATTTCAGAGATTTACAAACGAGGACCACCTGGCAGTTCATAAACACAAGCATGAGATGACATTGAAATTTGGCCCAGCTCGAACTGATTCAGTCATCATTGCAGGTATTTGCTGCCCCAAAAGCCACGTGCCTTGATATCACCAGACAGTTAAGATTAATACCAGAGACCAGATGTACTGGGAGCTATACTCCCCTTCTCCCATTAAGAGCCCTTATGTGATCTGCATTTAATCAGGAAAAAGGAACACTAAAAGCTCCCAAGTTTCTATTGTACCCTCTACTCTGTTTTTAATAACAAGATTGTGTTCTGTGGTTTTTGAGGGTAGGTGTGTTGAGGTTTCATCTTAGCTTTTTTCGGTCTATTACCTTCTTACTTTCTATTTATTAAGACTTTGAAAGATTTACAGACAAAAGATGCCTTTGACATTTTTCCCTACCCACAGTGAAGGGGTGAACAAAAGAATGCAAAAAAGCCAACCCAGCCTGACTGCTTCTCTTCCACTGGGTGTCAGTTTTCCTCCAGCAGGCAGATTGTCAGTTCATAAATCCAACTTCCCTTGTGAACCCAGACACCATTGAGGGAACATTTCCAAAGCTCAAACAAGACATTTAGTCAGTGGGACTTTTCTAAGCCAATTTGGGTGACCTGGAACCTCTCAGCAGTTGTTGTAGATACTGTCTTGCTTACATATGCCATTCTCAAGGGAGCCCTCTTAGCAACTGCTCGCAAACCAGGCAGCAGTTCTGCTGCACCATTTTCAGCTAGACAGACATACAAACCAAAGTGAGCTTTTTCTTTTGATCCATGACCGGTTCTGATTTAGCTCAATTTAGGCAAGCTTAACTCAATATTTAATTTCTAGGGTATTTAGTTGGTGGTTATTACTGTATAACTCAGATAAGACAGAGTTTCTGTAAGTATTACTAGCCAAAATGCTTTCATAGACATGGAGAAGGAGAGACAGAACTTCCTTGTCATACCTCTATACATGATGAAAGGGACTTGCCACTTGCCCTTACAGACCTCCTATTCCTCATTAATTCAGCAAATATTTATTTCATATTTACTATATACACCAGGCACATTTGCTAGGAGCTTGTAGATTTGTAATCCTTAGGAAAAGGACATAAAAGGGAACATTGTCATTAGTGATCCTTAAGAAAACCTGGAGGAAGATCAGGTGTGGTGGCTCATGCCTGTAATCCCAACATTCTGGGAGGCCGAGGCAGGAGGATCACTTGAGGCTGCAAGTTCAAGACCAGCCTGAGCAACATAGGGAGACCTCTACAAAAATGTTTAAAAATTAGCTGCATGCCTATAGTCTTAGCTACTTGGGAGGCTGAGGTAGGAAGATTGCTTGAGCCCAGGAGTATGAGGTTACAGTGTGCTATTATCGTGCTACTGCACTCCAGTCTGGACCACAAAGCAAGACTCTGTCTCTAAAAACAAAAGGAAAAGCTGGGGGAGATCTTAGGGAATAGTGGATAGGGTATACATATAGTAAGACATAATTAATTCAGGACATGTATTCATAAAATCGTAGTATTTGCAGACAAGTATAAGTGAATGCTACAAACTATATGAATACTAAACGAGTTAATATTAAGTAGAATTAATCAGAGGAAGTTTATTTGAGAGGTATGTTTGGGGCAAGGTTTTAAAGTTGGAGAGATTATTCCAAATTGGTGGAAGGGTCTACGCCAAGTCTCCAGGGGTGGTAAGGAAGTTGCTCCAGAATACTCTCAAGGAGAAAACGTGTTCTTCTGTTACTCTTTGCTCTCAGTTCTGGAATGCTCATCTTGTTGCACGTGACTTCAGCTATCATATATCTACACTGGTAATTCTTACATCTCCAATTAAGACCTGGTATGTCATGTATTCCAACCCCTTATGTGAACATTTTTACTTGGCTGTCATTCATATCTTTATGTCGATGACTGAACTTACCTCCATGTCTTCTAAACCAGCTCTTTCTCCTTTATTATTTATTAATATCAGTATTCTTAAAATCTTGTTTTATTCTTCAGATTCTTTCTGTTTTATTCCTTGCTGTTGTCCCTACCATCACATTCTTTATGCTTAGATTCCTCCAAAGTCTCCTAGCTGGCCTCCTTGATTAGCCTCTCATTCTAATCCATGTTGTATACATACTATTGAAAAGCCAGTCTTCCTTAAATTCTTCTCTTCTAGTCAAAATCTATCATTATCTTCCTGTTATCTCTTTATTTATTTATTTATTTTTTTTTTTTTTTGAGACAGGGTCTCATTCTGTCGCCCAGACTGAAGTGCAGTGGCATGATCTTGGCTCATGCAGCATCCACCTCTCAGGCTCAAGTGATTCTCCTGCCTCAGCCTCCCGAGTAGCTAGGATTACAGGTGCACGCCACTACCACCCAGCTAATTTTTGTATTTTTAATAGAGACGGGGTTTCACCATGTTGGCCAGGCTGGTCTTGAACTCCTGACCTCAAATGATCCACCCTCTTTGGCCTCCTAAAGTGCTGGGATTACAAGCCTAAGCCACCGCACCGGGCCCTTTTCTCTTACTTTAAGACTACTTAAGGCCAGACACAGTGGCTCACGCCTGTAATCTCAACACTTAGGGAGGCCAAGGCAGGTGGATCACCAGAGGTCAGGAGTTCAAGACCAGCCTGACCAACATGGGGAAACCCCATCTCTACTAAAAATACAAAATTAGCCAGGCTCAGTGGCTCATGCCTGTAATCCCAGCACTTGGGAGGTTGAGGTGGGCGGATCACGAGGTAAGGAGTTCAAGACAAGCCTGGCCTCCTTGGGAGGCTGAGGTAGGAGAATCGCTTAAACCTGAGAGGCGGAGGTTGCAGTGAGCTGAGATTGTACCACTGCACTGCAGACTGGGCAACAGACCAAGACTCCATCTCAAAAAACGTATGCAAAATACAAAATTAGCCAGGCATGGTGGTGCACACCTGTAACCTCAGATACTTGGGAGGTTGAGGCAGGAGAATTGCTTGAGCTCAGGAGGCGGAGGTTGCAGTGAGCTGAGATTGTGCCATTGCCCTCCAGTCTGGGCAACAAGAGAGAAACTCTGTCTCAAAACAAACAAACAAAAAAAGACAAAGGCTGTTTATGCCTGGATTTTCAGGCTCTTCATAACCTACCGCCATGGCATTCACCCAAGTTTTAATTTGTTTCTTGTTTTCGGGGGCATTTTTTGGAGACGGAGACTTGCTCTGTTGCCCAGGCTGGAGTGCAGTGGTGTGATCACAGCTCACTGCAGCCTCAAACTCTTGGGCTCAAGCCATCCTCCCACCTCACCCTCCCCAGTAGCTGGGACTACAGATGTGCACCGCCATACCCAGCTAAGTATTTTATTTTTTGTAAAGATGGGTTCTAGCTTTGTTTCCCAAGTTGGGTCTTGAACTCCTGGCCTCAGGCAACCCTCCCCCTTCAGCCTTCCAAAGTTCTGGGAGGTGTGAGCCACCATGCCCAGCCAAGTACTTATTTTTGTATACTATGATGCTTTCTACATATATTAGTTTTATTTCCTCGACTAGAAAGCATTATCAGCTGAGCACTCTGACTGACACCTGTAATCCCAGTACTCGAGAGGTCAAGGTGGGAGGATCACTTGAGCCCAGAAGTTAGAGGCCAGCCTGGGCAACATAGCAAGACCCCATCTCTACAAAAAAATTTAAAATTAACCAGGTGTGGTGGCACTTGCATTTAGTCCCAGCTACTTGGGAGTCTGAGGCAGGAGAATCACTTGAGCCCAGGAGTTTACGGTTACAGTGAGCTACAGTCACCCCACTGCATTCCAGCCTGGGTGACAAAGCAAGACCTTGTCTCTAAAAAAGAATAAAGAAGAGAAAAGAAAACATCTCTGGGGCCTAGTGACATAGTGGCACACTTGTAATCCCAGTGCTTTGAGAGGCACAGGCAGGAGGACTGCTTGAGGCCAGGAGTTCAAGGCCACACCTGGGCAACATGAGACCCATCTTAACAAATTTTTTTTAAAAATTAGCCTCAGGCCGGGCACAATGACTCATGCCTCCAATCCCAGCATTTGAGGAAACAGAGGCAGGAGGATTGCTTGAGGCCAGGAATCCAAGACCAGCCTGGGCAAAATGATGAGGCACCCCCCTCGCTACAAAAAAAAATTAGCTAGACATGGTGCCACTTGCCTGTACACCAGCCACTCAGGAGGCTGAGGTAGGAGATCACTTGTGTTGAGGAGTTCAAGGCTGCAGTGAGCTATGATGATGCCACTGCCTCCAGCCTGGGTGACTACAGAGTAAGACCCTGTATTTAAATATAAATACATATATACATATATATATAGCTATGATCACAACACTGCACTCCAGTGTGGGTGACAGAGTGAGACCTTGTATCTAAAAATAAATACATCCTTCATACATACAATTAGCCGAGCATGGTGGTACACACCTGTAGTCCTAACAGCTTGGGAGGCTGAGACAAAGATTGCTTAAGCCTGGGAGTTCAAGGTTTCAGTGAGCTATGATCATGCCACTGCACTCTAGCCTGGATGACAGAGCAAGACTGTCTTTTAAAAGAAAACAAGAAAACAGCCAAGTGTGGTGGCTCACACCTGTAATCCCAACACTTTGGGAGGCTGAGGTACGCAGATCACTTGAGTTCAGGAGTTCAAGACGAGCCTGACCAACATGGTGAAACCCCATGTCTACTAAAAATACAAAAGTTAGCCAGGCAGGGTGGTGTGCACCTGTAATCCTAGCTATTAGGGAGGCTGAAGCAGGAGAATCGCTTGAACCCGGGAGTCGGAGGTTGCAGTGAGCCAAAATTGCACCACTGCATCCAGACTGGGTGACAGAGTAAGACTCCGTGTCAAAAACAAAAACAAAAAAACAGCCTGAGCAACATAGTGAAATCCTGTCTCAAAAACTACGGAAATTAGTTAGGGTGATGGTGCACACCTGTAGTCCCAGCTACTTGGGAGGCTGAGGTGGGAGGATCACTTGAGCCTAGGAGACGGGGACTGCAGTGAGCCAAGATCGAGCCACTGCACTCCAGCCTGAGCGACAAAGTGAGACCCTGTCTCAAAAAAAACAGAAAGGAAGAAAAAGAGGCTAGGCATAGTGGCTCACACCTGTAATCCCAGCACCTTGGGAAGCCGAGGCCAGTGGATCACAAGGCCGGTGGATCACAAGGTCAGGATTTCGAGACCAGCCTGGCCAACATGGTGAAACCCTGTCTTTACTAAAAATACAAAAAAAATTAGCCGGGCTTGGTGGCATGCACCTGTAATCCCAGCTGTTTGGAAAGCTGAGGCAGGAAAATCACTTGAACCTGTGAGGTGGAGGTTGCAGTGAGCCAAGATCACACCACTGCACTCCAGCCTGGGTGACAAAGCGAGACATCATCTGAAAAAAAAAAAAAAAGAAAAAGAAAAAATATCTTAATTCTCTACAGCCAAGAGCCATGTTTTCTTTTCTCTCTCTCTCTTTATTTTTCTCTCTCTCTTTATTTTTTTTTATAGAGACGGGATTTCACCATGTTGGCCAGGCTGGTCTCAAACTCCTGGCCTCAAGTGATCCTCCCACCTCAGCCTCCCAAAGTGCTGGGATTACAGGCGTGAGCCATCGTGCCTGGCTTTTTTTTTTTTTTTTTGAAATGGAGTTTTGCTCTTGTTGCCCATGCTGGAGTACAATGGCACAATCTCAACTCACTGCAACCTCCGCCTCCTGGATTCAAGCAATTCTTCTGCCTCAGCGTCCAGAGTAGCTGGGATTACAGGCATGCGCGACTATACCTGACTAATTTCTGTATTTTTAGTAAAGACAGGGTTTTACCACGTTGGTCAGGTTGATCTTGAACTCCTGACCTCAGGTGATCCACCTCGGCCTCCCAAAGTGCTGGGATTACAGGTGTGAGCCACGGCACCTGGTCAAAAAAAATTAGTAAGTTTTTACTGAATATTTTCTATATGTTTTGGTGCTTCATGAATACACTTGTGTACATGTTTGGTGGAGGAAAGGGATAGGAATATAGGAGTATTGCCCAGATTTAAGACATGGCTCTTAGGCTGGGGGCAGTGACTAAGGCCTGTAATCCCAGCACTTTGCAAGGCCGAGGCAGAAGGATCCCTTGAGCTCAGGAGTTCAAGATCAGCTTGGGCAACACAGTGAAACCCCGTCTCTACTAAAACTATAAAATTAGCTGGGCGTGGTGGCACATGCCTGTCATCCCAGCTACTCAGAAGGCTAATGCAGGAGAATTGCTTGAACCCAGGAGGCGGAGATTGCGGTGAGCCGAGATCACGCCATTGCACTCCAGCCTGGGTGACGAGTAAAATTCTGTCTCAAAAAAAAAAAAAAAAATTTACTGATTTTTTTTTTTTTTTTTTTTAGGTTTCATTAGAGCAGATTCATGATTCTCTGATAGATTTTCAATCTGTTTGTTCACAAACCAGAGCCATTTGAAGGTCAGAGCCCGCTTGCAAAGTGAGGAATTAGGTTTAACACAGGGGAGCCTTTAAAAAATGTGAAATGGGCCTGAAGAGCAGGGTGCAGGGGAGGTTTGTTTGAGCCTCATATCAGAGGCCTGAAAGTCCCTCTTCTGTCATAGCCATGCCCTTAGCTGCCCCCTCCTGTTCCACTTGAGTTGTGATTCTGTGTATGCCCTTACTAAAGTACTCTCTAAGCATAAGGATGATGTTACTTCTACTCACCCAAGGATGGAGGGAAAGTGGCTTTATCGTTAGCCAACCAAAGCTGCCAGAGAACCTTTTAAAACTATTTTGAGAAATAGTGGTAACTTTTCCAAACACTCTGTTTCAGAAGAGGTTTTGTTTAAAGTGTTTTTATAAAAATTGTGCTGTTTCCATGGAAAATCCCACTGGACTATTTTCAATTGATCATGCTAGGAGTGATTTTTTTTTTTTTTTTTTAAACAGAGTCCGACTTTGTTACCCAGGCTGGAGTGCAGTGGCAACGATCTCTGCTCACTGCAACCTCCGCCTCCTGACTTCAAGGGATTCTCCTGCCTCACTCTCCCACGTAGCAGGGACTACAGGCGCCTGCCACCATGCCCACCTAATTTTTTTATTTTTTGTAGAGACAGAGTTTTACCATGTTGGCCAGGCCGGTCTCAAACTCCTGACCTCAAGTGATACTCCCATCTCAGCCTCCAAAAGTGCTGGGATTATAGGCATGAGCCACCGTGCCTGGCCAAGAAGGCGTGATTTTAACTCCAAGTCTCACTCCTTAAAATATCACTTAAACATTGTTCTCAGCTGGGCACGGTGGCTCATGCCTGTAATCCCAGCACTTTGGGAGGCTGAGATGGGCAGATCACGAGGTCAGGTGTTCAAGACCAGCCTGACCAATATGGTGAAACCCTGTCTCTACTAAAAATACAAAAATTAGCCAGGCGTGATGGCACATACCTGTAATCCCAGGTATTATTGGGAGCCTGAGGCAGGAGAATTGCTTGAACCCAGGAGGTGGAGGTTGCAGTGAGCTGAGATCACGACACTGCACTCCAGCCTGGGTGACAGAGCAAGAATCCATCCCCCCCAAAAAAATTGTTCTCTATTTCTGTCATTCATTCTAGTGGTTTGGGGTTTGAGATGAATCCCTAAAGTAGCATGCCAAGGAAGGCCATTGTAATAGAGTTAGGATCTGTGAACAAGATTTAGCTCTAAAAAAGCAGCATTGGGAGGGAGAAGCTCAAATCTCAAATTGAAGTTGCTTAAAAAGTTCCCATGAGTTACCAAGAGCCTTTCTCTTCCCAAGGGCAGAGGCACTATGTTGAGGAGAGATTCATGCAGCCCCTGTGGGGATGTTTTGGCTGGCAAAATCGAAATATTCTGGTTTCCAGAACTCGCTCTGGGCCTAGGTCTCTGTGAAATGAGCTCCACTGTTTGCAGTTTCCATTTCTAGCTCATGATCTTGCTGTCTTACTCCTCAGCCCCTAGATTTGCCTGGAATCCTTCAGAAGGTTAACAGACCATTACCTCAGCGACCACTGAAAGACAGGCACTATTTCTTACTTGGTAGCTTTAGTCAGCAAACTCAACCATCTGATCCTCAGTTTCTTCTCATCAGATTTTAACATGCATCTGCTTTTTCTCCTCACTTCAGACTTAGCAGGGAGTGAGTTTACAAAAGAAAACATTGCTTAACTGTACTTGGTTTTCAGATATAGGGGTTTCACAAAACTGTGCCACCTGCATGGGTGGTTTGGTTTGGTTTGGTTGGAGGTAAAGGAGGTAAAACTAGCACTGAGAGAAAAGTAGGTACATGGATAGTCACACAACAAAATACTGTTCTGTCTTCCCCTTGCTGGCTTTGAGGCAACACAACACAGACACCCTCTGGTGGCCTGGCACCAGCCTTTGCCTACTAGAGCTCTATTAAAGCAAATCTGCCCTAACACAGAGACTCTATCTGCAAATCCAAAAGTACAAATGCATTCTCTATATACTACATAATATCAAGTTTTAATTTCAGATCAAAACTAAAAGTTTCCTTTTCTTTCATGTTTACAGATCAAACTCCTACTCCAACTAGATTCCTGAAGAACTGTGAGGAAGTGGGACTCTTCAATGAACTAGCTAGCTCCTTTGAACATGAATTCAAGAAAGCTGCAGATGAGGATGAGAAAAAGGCAAGAAGCAGGACTGTTGGCAAAAAACTGGTGGTATTCAGACCTAGGCTATTTTTGCTGTGCTTTGGGATAATTTGCTTAATTGGTTAAAACACAAAATCATGGGCTTAGTACAGTCAAGCCAGATAGCAGTCACTAATCCCAGTCAGCCATTCAGGTCTTTAGGAGTTCCAGATGATGATCAGCACAAGTCTGTCTTCACCGAAAATTAGTCCTCTTGTTCTTCCAGGGGAGTATTAGATTAATAATCTGTTTTTTAAAAATTATTTATATTATAAATATGTTGAAGATGTTAAAAGGTTATAAATTACTCAGATTTTGTTAGATAACATATTTGTTGCCAAATCCCACTCTTTTCTGAGCTGATCAGACTTCTCAGCTGCACTATTTTTTTGAATCAGCAAGTCAATAAACATTTATCAAATTTCCATTCTTTGTTTTAATATATGTGGTTTTTGCCTTTAAGTAGCTTTCTGTTATTATTCAAAGCATTAAAGATAAAAAGGATGTTCTTACTGTCTTTCAAAGGAAATCAAACAGGATGGTGAAAGAACTAGAAACTATGTCACTTCAGGAACTTTTAAGGAAATCAAGTGGCCAAGCACATTGGCTCATGCCTGTAATCCCAGCACTTTGGGAGACCAAGGTGGGAGGATTACAGTTCAAGACCAGCCTGGGCAACATAGCAGGACCCCCATCTGTACAAAGAAAGTTTTAAAAATTAGCCATGCATGGTGGTGCATGCCTGTAGTCCTAGCTACTTGGGAGGCTGAAGTGGAAAGATTGCTTGAACCCAGGAGTTCAAGGCTGCAGTGACCTATGATTGTACCACTGTGCTCCAGCCTGGGCGACAGAGTGAGACCCTATCTCTTTAAAAAAAAAAAAGTCGGAGAGAGGGAGCCGGAGAGAAGAAAAAAAAATTAGGGGTGGGTGGCCAGCCTGGGTGCGGTGGATCACGAGGTCAGGAGTTCAAGACCAGCCTGACCAACATGGTGAAACCCGGTCTCTATTAAAAATACAAAAATTAAGGCCGGGCGCGGTGGCTCACGCCTGTAATCCCAGCACTTTGGGAGGCCGAGGCGGGTGGATCACGAGGTCAAGAGATCAAGACCATGCTGGTCAACACGGTGAAACCCCGTCTCTACTAAAAATACAAAAAATCAGCTGGGCATGGTGGTGCATGCCTGTAATCCCAGCTACTCAGGAGGCTGAGGCAGGAGAATTGCTTGAACCTGGAAGGCAGAGGTTGCAGTGAGCCGAGATCGCCCCACTGCACTCCAGCCTGGGCGACAGAGTGAGACTTTGTCTCAAAAAAAAGAAAATTGAGGAAATTTTGGTTAGAAAAGAGATTTAGTGTAAACAAATCTCAGTCTTCAAGAGTATTTAAGTAAAAGAGGGATTACGTTTATTCTATGTGGCCCAAAGGTAGAAGTAGGATCACTGGGTGATCTATAATATCTCTACTAAGTGGCCTACATATAATTGAATACAAAATACGTTCAATTATATGTAGGCCACTTAGTACAGATATTGTAGAGGAATCCCTTCTAATTCTGAGATGCTGTGATTCTCTAATCCTGAGCCTTTATATAATCTGGATCCCTAGAGGATCCCTTAGTTTAGAAGACCAGAGGAAATACCTGAAGAAGCAGAGTCAAAGGAAGATAGTTCGCATGGATAAGGGACTTGGGGGGAAAAGAAAAATGCAAATATAAAATTTTACTTTAGAATTAGAATTCTAGGCTATTGGTCACTATTTTTAACATCAAGTCTGTGTTCCTGATTTTCTGGAATCATAAAAGATTCCAATATCTCTATCCCAAAACATATATATTAACACATTAACCTTTAAATTGTATGGTATAGTGAGGCATGGGATCCTATCAGAATATAGAATAGCTGGAACTGCTTCTGTTTTTCCCTATATTTAAGAAAAAATTTCCATGGAAGCTCTTTCCTTCTAAGAGGGAGTAGCCGGTAAATCAAGGTAGTTATACATGAATTTTCCATCCAGTTTAAGTGGTAAGAAAGCAAGATAGTATCTTTATCACTGGAGTTACTTCCAAGTTCCATAGATTTTTATGAGTTCCTTTTTATGCTGTTTCCCTCAAACTAACAGAATGAGGCCTGCATGGGGCATGGTGGTTCACACCTGTAATCCCAGTGTTTAGGGAGGCCACGACAGGAGGATTGCTGGAACTCAGGAGTTTGAGACCAGCCTGGGCAGCATGGTGAGACCTATCTCTACAAAAAAATTTAAAAATCAGCTGAGTGTGGTAGCACACTTTTGTGGTCCCAGCTACTCAGGAGGCCAAGGCAGGAGATCACTTGAGCCTAGGAGGTCAAGGCTGCAGTTAGCTATGATCAAACCACTGCACTACAGCCTTGGCAATGGAACAATACCCTGTCTTTATTTTATTTTATTATTTTTTTGAGACAGAGTTTTGCTCTGTCACCCCGGCTGGTGTGCAGTGGCACAATCTTAGCTCACTGCAACCTCCACCTCCCAGGTTTAAGCAATTCTGTCTCAGCCTCCCAAGTACCCAGGATTACAGGTGCATGCCACCACACCCAGCTAATTTTTTTGTGTGTTTAGTAGAGATGGGGTTTTGCCATGTTGTCCAGGGTGGTTTCAAAGTCCTGAGCTCAAGCAATCTGTCCACCTCAGCCTCCCAAAGTGCTAGGATCACAGGCATGAGCTACCGTGCCTGGCCCAGACCTTGTCTTTAAATAAATTAATAAAGCAGGGAAATTCAGTGGCATATATTTGTAGTTCTACTTTTTTTTTTTTTTTTGAGGCAGTCTCACTCTGTTGCCCAAGGGTGAAGTGCAGTGGCACGATCTCGGCTCACTGCAACCTCCGCCTCTTGAATTCAAGCAATTCTCCTGCCTCAGCCTCCCAAGTAGCTGGGACTACATGTGCATGCCGCCATGCCCAGCTAATTTTTGTATTTTTAGTAGAGACAGGGTTTCATCATGCTGGCCAGGCTGGTCTCGAACTCCTGACCTCATGGTCTGCCTGCCTCAACCTCCTAAAGTGCTGGGATTACAGGCATGAGCCACCACACCTAGCTAAATTTTGTGGGTTTTTTTAAGAGAGACAGGGTTTTGCCATGTTGCCCACACTGGTCTTGAACTCCAGGGCTCAAGCGATCCACCAGCCTCAGCTTCCCAAAGTGCGGGGATTACAAGCGTGAGCCACCACACCTGGTCTTATAGTTCCACTTTCAAATGGCAGAACTAGCCACAGTCTTCTCATCATTCATTTTTATTCATTCATTCATTGACATGGTCTTGCTCTATCTGCCAGGCTAGAGTGCAGTGGTGGAATCATGGCTCACTGCAGTCTCCACCTCCTGAGCTTAAGCAGTTCTTCCACCTCAGCCTCCCAAGTAACTGGGACTACAGGCACATACCACCATGCCTGGCTAATTTATTTTCATAGAGACAGGGTCTTACTGTGTTGCCCAGGCTGGTCTCAAACTCGCCGGCTCAAGCAATCCTCCCACCTCAACCTCCCAAAGTGCTGAGATTACAGGCATGAGCCACTACGCCTGGCCAAGAAAGGTTTTGCTGTGTTTCCCAGGCTGGTCTAGAATTTCTGGCTTCGGGTGATCCTCCCACCTTGGCCTCCCAAAGTGTTGAAATTACAGGCATGAGCCACCATACTTGGCCTATGTGGGATTTTATACCCAATTAATTATTGGCAAATTCAAGAAAATTAGCCCCCCATAAAAGGCTTCAAGTCTTTTTCATTGCCATTTTAGCTCAGTGGACACTTCTGGGAGACTAGTTCATAATTAGTCAGCCGTTTCCTCACTGGGCATTCCTTGGTGTTTCCTTCTGCCTGTACAGGAGTGATCTTTACTTCTCCTTGGTGAGAAGCACAGATTGTCTCCAGGAGTGTTTAATGAGCATGGAACTTTCCTGAACCCACAGCTCTTCTAGGAGATGCCCTAGAGGATTTCAAATCTATGGTTATATTTACATAGAAGCTTCTCCTTCCCACTAATCTCTGACTTAAGAGATCTCAGAATTAAGGCCGGGCGCGGTGGCTCACGCCTGTAATCCTAGCACTTAGGGAGGCCGAGGCGGGTGGATCACGAGGTCAAGAGATCGAGACCATCCTGGTCAACACGGTGAAACTCCGTCTCTACTAAAACTACAAAAAAAGGCCGGGCACGGTGGCTCAAGCCTGTAATCCCAGCACTTTGGGAGGCCGAGGCGGGTGGATCACGAGGTCAAGAGATCGAGACCATCCTGGTCAACATGGTGAA